ACAGCACCACAGCCAGATTCCAGCAGGGAAAGGCAGAGGAGAGTCCCGTTTTTTGTGTGGCTTTTGTTGTTCTTCGGATGCTATCTGCACTGAAGATTTAGATGAAATTAATATTGCTGGCCATTTACTCTGTATACTGTGGTTGTGTAGTGTTGTCTTGGTTGCTAGCTACTTTGGGTGCTGTGGTTAAGCCAAGTGTTGCCGTAGCCACCAACCACATTCTTAGTGTAAACTCTGACTTATTCTCCTCCTTCCTCCTCAGGAAATTGCTATGATATGATGTGTTAGGCCGCTAGGTTAAATTATCTAGATGTTGGCTAGCCCATCCGTCCCAAGGATGCATTTATACCCCTCCTTTCCCTCTCTTATTGACTCACATGTGGTTATAGACTGCTCACTCACCAACCAGTTCAATGATGTAGAACCGAAAAGCTGGGTCTTATGAAAAGATTTGAGAGGACCTAGAAGGTCTTCCTCCTGCCCTTAACCTTCCCTATACATCCTTTTTGGTTTAACAAAATCACTGTGTCTAGTGAAATTCAAGTGGTAATTTCTATGCATTGAGTACCCTCTCTCTCCTTTTAAAATGGCCCTGAAAAAGCAATATATTGCTAAATATTACTACACATGAATTTGTAAAATGAAGAGAGAGAATTGGGACATGAGAACATTAAGCAGTTTACCAGGGGAGTAGAGGAGTGGCTGAAAAGGAGACAATTAAATGAAGAGCTGCAGTCTCTGAAGTTTCTCTCGGGATTGGCCCTAGGACTAGCTGCTAAGCAAAGACCCTGTGTTCTTCCTGTGAACCATCATGTAAACCTGGAGTAAGTACAGCAGGTGAAGGAGTTCATCCAGGACTCGCTTGCAGCTTGGTGGACTTGCTCACTTTCCTCTGGTCTACGCTGTTTCCAAATATTAAAGCCATTTCTTGATGTGTAGCTAGAACAATGATTCCAGTTGGGTACTTCTTTCTCCCATTGGACAAGAGAAACTTTGATGGGCAAATAGGTCATCTGTAACTTGTCACTACTAGCAGAAAAGTAAATATAAGATGTGACAGATTTATATTTATAGACTAAAAGTAAGGGTTATGTTTCCATGTTAAGAGCCATCATATTTGGTTCTTTAAAGATAAGCAAATTAAAAGTCTCTAAATAGGATATGCCCATTTTAGAGAGTTTAACATACATATGTATTGGTAATATCATCTTTGTACTTAAATTTTATAATATGAAACCGTTAATATTTTTAATCGTATAAGAGGGACTGCATTTAACAAAAGAATAGGTATAGAATTTGCATGTGAGTAACGTTAGGTGTTTAAGGATCAAATATAATTTGTGGTTTCAAATTTGACTAATTAAATTCTGCAGAACATCTGCATATCTCCAGGGGATATGGACTGAAAGCCACTAGAATTTTGTTTTCAATTAGGCATATACTGACTGGTCATGTGGTCATTTTCTGGTTTTGGTTATAAACTATAGGTCTTCAGATCTGAAAGCATAGTGGCTTTTGTAACTGGGTGTAATTATTCCCAACAGGGTTTAAATCAACTTCTTAGCAATGTTTTGCAGGTTACTTGAAAAGAAACTGTGTACAAGAGGCTTGGTCATATAAAGATTCTAAACTCAATACTTTCTCCTGTTGACTTAGGTTAGATTATTTCCAGTTGATCTGTATTTTCTACTTTCTAAAGCTAAGTGCTGCATTTTTCTTAACCCAAAAATGTGTGATTCAAAATCCACCCAATTAGGTACATTGGTTTAGAGAGTTATCCTGTTGATACTCACTTAAGAAAAAAAAAATCTGTAAGCCTGCCAAGTGTGGAGGTAAAAGTTGGAAGGAGACTCGTGTGCTATTGGAGGAAGATAGTTCATTGTTGTGGGAATATTGGAATAGGTTATTGGTATAGTCAGTTCTTGAGCGTGAAATACCACACTGTCTAATACAACATTATAGAAGGAAATTAATAAAAGATGTGAAGAAAAATGCACCTTTATAAAATATGGAGTAATTTCAGCTGTTTATTCAAGGACTTTAATTTTGCTTTATAAAAAATAGCGTTCTGAAATTATGAAACTGAAATACACCTCAAAATACCCTAATTATTAGTTTTTACGAAGTCTGAGAGGCAAATTAAGTCAACTTGTAATTCTTAGCATTTTGTCCAGTATCTCATAGGAAGCACAGGGCCTTGTATTAATAACCATTCTCTGTTGAATGAACAAATGGATGAACGAATGTTTGTGTACTATGTAATTTTAAACTGATTACTAGATCCCACCAAAAAGTATCTTATGCTTAATTTTTTCCAAAAGTATTTTATGCCAAGTAGCCTTAAAACTAAACGTCCACAACAAAGATATAAGATTGTAGATAATTTTTGTTGTTGTTCTTTCTGGTTTTGTGTATTGTTCAAATTTTCAACAAAAAATGTCATATAGCTAAATTTTTTCTAAGATACATGGTTAATTAAAACCTATCTTAACATGAAATACAAATCTCACCTCTAATAACTGATATCTCATCTGTGATACAAATTGCAGAGGCCTTGCTTTTACATTAAAGTCCACTTTTAAAAACTAATGTAATTATGACCAAAGAACATTCCTAGGATTAATTTAAAAGAAGTAGAATTTTATCTTAACTTGGAGGAGCTGAATTCATGTTTCTGTCACTGGTACAGAGCAACGCCAGTTCCATTTGGTAGTGTTGAAAATGGTTATCCTTCTCTGAAAAACAAGCTAGACACTTAATCGAATGCCAACTCTCTTCTTGCAAATATAATCATATTGTTTTTATTAAACATATTTATACAAGTTGGGGTAAAAATCTTTCTCTTAGTGTAATCATATTTGAATGACAAATAAAAAGAGCCATGCTGACCAATAAAAATAATCCCCTGCTCTCCCTGGTAGGAACAAAATATTGAACTGGTGGATGGACATTCTGAGCCACTGTGGCAGTTGGTAGTTGAATCCTGTGACTAATGGTAGAGATTTCTGTCTAGGTAGGTCACATGGACTTAGTTATCTGCCCACTGGAATGACACAGCAGGGAGCTATCTGATGAGTATTGTGGAACATCTGTGAATGGGTCACAGCTATGCCCAATGTGAATCATGCTTCCCTCAAAAATCTAAAGTTTAATAGTTTAAAAATTCCAAACTGTTGTCACATAAACTGAGATGTTTGACCTATTTTAGGAGTTGGGAGGGAATGAATACAACACATAGTCTAAGATATTTTGCCAGTAAGTCATTTGTCTGTGTTTTAAACCTCTAAATTTTAGGAAAGCCTAAAAACTGTTGAAGGTCATCATTGAGAGCTTTGGGTTACTGCAAGTAATAAAATATACCCTCCTCAGCTGATTGCCACCTTCACGGAGACTACAGGACTTGATAGTCTTCCCCACCAGGGGACTAGATTTCCTATCTTTAAATTCAACATGCTTAGTTAAAAATCTGTAAAACATGCCCAGCCGGGCATGGCTCAGCGGTTGAGCGTCGGCCTAGGATCCAGGCGATCAGGATTCGATTCCCGGGCAGGGCACATGCCCGGGTTGCGGGCTCGATCAATGACTCTCTCCTCATTGATGTTTCTGTCTCTCTCTCTCTCCCTCTCCTTTCCTCTCTCTGAAATCAATAAAGATATATTTAAAAAAAAAAAAAATGTGTAAAACATGATGACGGAGGCGCTTCTACCTCACAAGTCCATGACCCTTAAAGGACCTGGTGGGGAGCATTTGGTGTGCAGCTGTTTAGGTGACAGTTTCCTTTACTGAATGATCTTAATTCACATTGATTTTCCTAATTTGGGATCAAACTCCTCTCTTTAGGGTACTATTAAAAGCAGTAGACAAAGAAGCAAAACTGGGGGTTTGTGTGGGGCTAGCTAGGTGAAGCTGAGGTTTCCTAGGGACTGCCCATGCTCCTTTGACAACTCCCCCTGGGCCTGCCTGGTTCTGGAGAGCGGTGGTGAGTGGGGAGATAGCTTAGTCTGCTTTCATTCCAGTTCCAGGAAGAACCTGCAACCTCTATGTGATCTGCAACACTTGGCATTGTCTTGTAGTTTGACTTTTGTCTGATATTTTGATACGTTTATCTTTGCTTCTTTTCACTCCTTTTGAGCGGCATAAAGTCTGTTGACCAGGGATGTTTACTAGTAAGAGTGTGTTTGTGTGTGTCTTTGTATTTTGTGTCCTGTGAGCAAGTTGTGGTGGATGTCTTTGCCAATAAAGAATAAACATATTTAGAATTTTACAAATTTTATAATGAGAATGTTTTAGCTTTGGCAAATATTTTTAAGAGTTTTTAAGAATGAGATAAGTATTTTGTAAGTTCACATTTTATGGAATATGTATATATCTGCCTGACAGTGGTGTAACCAATGGGGCCAACTCTGTTAAGCAGATGAATGGGTTGTAGTCCAAAAGAAATTCACTGCAATCTTTAAATTCTAGACTTTGTGTGCTATTAGAGAAATAAATCTATAAGTGGAAGAAAATAATGAAATGTGAATGTGATGTGTTCCTAACAAAGACTAAATTAATTGGATTTGTCCTACAAAATGTAAAAAAGTTAATGTGTCCCTATTGTTTTGTTTTAAAACAGATATACAACCATTGTTTTGCACTGAAATGGATATTCATACATTTTATCTGATGATTTTCGGGGAAATGAAGGTGTTTTTTTCTTTTTAAAGGAAAACACGAAGACGATTATACAAATGGAAATGCTAATTGTTTAAAATCACCAATAGTTTTTTCTCTGAACTTGAAAACAGTTATGTTTCTAAACATGAGAATAATAATTTTGCCTAAATTTGCAGTACAATGACCAGGACTTCTCTCCTTTTTAGAGAAGCAGTCAAGTGTTTCGGGAACAGATAAGACAGCAGCGATCCAGTGAGGTTGATCCCTTGCAGAGGAAAGCTATGCAGACCTAGCTTACTGGAAGTAAACTACTCTTTAGTTAATGCCGTTCTCTTTTTCTCAAGGTATCCAAAGACAGGAGGTGGTCTGCAAAAGGTTGGATGACAACTCTATTGTCCAGAACAATTACTGCGACCCCGACAGTAAGCCACCTGAAAACCATAGAACCTGCAACACTGAGCCCTGCCCACCTGAGTAAGTAAAAGAAGTAAGAATTATTTCTTCAAGTGCAAAAGAAAAGCATTAGATATTTGTATTTGGAAACATATATTCATTTTATATGAATAAATTAAACTGAGAAAAGGGTATAAACTCAGCGGGTGGAGTGTGGATGTGCCTTTTAATGAGCGAAGATGCCTACTGACCCATAGGTGTCAGTTAGCCACCCTGAAGCAGGAACTTCAGTAGGTTGATCCTGGAACAGTGCTGGAAACTGTCATATTTTATCAATTTCTAAGGCACACATCCTTCCACATTTTAACATCTCTGACATTGGGATTTACCTTGCAACTGATGGTGTCTTAGAGTAATAATCGGCATTAATTTTTTTTCTTAATGGTACATAAAATAATGGTATCTGAGATTCAATAAAATACAGTGGATTGGTGTGCAGTCCTATCTTTTCCAGGTAGTTATCCTAAAAGTCTAAAGACTTTTAAAATGGCTTAGAAATATTCTGCAGTGGAATATCGGTGCTGTAATTTGCTGGCCCGGTTTTTAGTTCTGTCATCCCAGGCATCCTGTCTTCTGAGTGTTGGACACAGGCAGAGAGGTGTATGCACTTCAGTCTCTTTCTGTGATTAATGTAGCAATTACAGCTAACTGTAGAGGGAGGCACAAGGAGAGAGCCGTTCATCCGAAAGATGATTTTAAAGAATTAAAATTTAGAAATATGAAACCTGCCGTCAGTGAGCCACATTTTATAATCTGTCAGAACACAAAGGTTTCTCATTGGAGCAAAAGGCAATGATTGTATGTAGAAAGACAAAGATGCTGAGTTGATCATGAAAATACTGATCTCTGTAGGGATTTTTGTCTGTTTGACAACTGCAAGGCAGAACATGTGTGAATGGCATTGCATTCTTGTTGCAGAGTAACCATTGTCCCTCTGGTTAACTAATTATCCCAACAGGAAATTGGTAAGGAAAAAGAGAGTAAGCAAATAAATTTATACACCCCAGGGTCTCTAGAACTGGAGAGGAAACCTCTATCATAAAGTTATCTCATTTTTTTAAAAAATGACTGCAGTTTTTCAAAAACCTGAGACTTACAGTGAATAAGGAATTCAGTCCCTATTATAGTTACAGCAAGAAGCATTTCTCAATATTTGTTCCAAAACAGTAATGCCTTATGAACTTTCATTGTCCATACTCAGTATTTGCCTGAATATTTGACTCTTAAAGGGAGATACTGATTCTTTTCTTGAAAAGGCTCAGGGCAGTGACTACCAAATAAGGACACAGGGCGTCTCGAGTGATAGTTTTTATTTTAAGACTTTTAAAATTTCATGTCTCTTCTTTTCAAAATGTGATCACCATGGAACTTAGTCCTTAAAATCCAGACATGGGAATGTATAGAATCATGACCTATGATATGTATTATAAAGAAAAGATATTTAATTGTTCTTTTCAATTTTTCCTCTCTCTTGTCAATTACTGCTATAAGTTTATCTCAAGAGAAACTGAAAAACTATATAAAGCAACATGATGCTCAAAAACCATGGGCTAAAATCTGAAGTTTTCAGTAACATCAACATATTTTCATATAATTATGAGTCTCAACCTATCACCTTAATTCCCTGACATTCAGGATTTTAAGTATTATGTTGGGCATTTGATCAGCATTTAAGGCATCTGAGTGGGCCTGGTCACACCTGTTCTATTTTGGCTTCAGCTTTTTTATTTGTTTAAGCTTAAATGCTATTCAAACGCCCTCTGAGATTTCAATGGTTGGTCATTCCATCCCATGTATTTTAGTCTCGGCTGTTACACGGGAATTTGTGTTTGTGAGTGTTTTTAACACTTTAAGGATAATTGACATATTTGAATTGACATACATAATTAATATTAGCTTTTCCCTTTTTAAATTCTGAAATAAAAAGTTAACTTTTTTAAAGTTTGAAGGTGAAAGGATGGAATTTGGAAAAGAGAGATAAAGAGAATATCCGAAACAAACTTTAGGCTCACAGTTTTCATTTTTGGAGAGAGCTAAAGAACATATTTAAAGTATTACTCTTTATTAGTCCATTTTTTCTTAGTTTCTTTTAAATTTCTTCTCTATTCCTTTGAATTCAGACTATGAAAAAGGAACTCAGTTCTTTAGAATGGTTGTCGTACATAAGATTCCCGGTAGGCATCGGTGTTATAGAGATAAAAATCATAGGAAGACTGCTGAATTCAGTAAGACTTGAAATGAGAGTGGGAGAAAGGAAATGGGATAGGTTTTTTTTCCCGATGATGTGATAACTGTATTTGTTTTTCTGAAATACATATTAAAACATAAAAAATTTTCAATGCAGATAAGTAAAAAAAGTTAAAGACACCTATAATACTTATAATACCATTGTTAATACTTAGATGTATATCCTTCCAGTCTTTTTTCTATGTCTACATAGGCATGTGTATACAACAAAATGGTATAATAATATTTATGATACTTTGTAGCCAGTTCTCAACATTATTTTGAGCACTAAATATCTTCTACAACATTTAGTAGATATGTCATTGTTTGTTTAAATTGGCTTCCCACTGTTAAACAATTTTGGCTGTGTCCTAGCTTTTAATCCTTTACAATACCACAGCATTAACCATCTTTGCTACTAAAACTTTGCTCTCTATAATTATGCCCTTATGCTACATGCATAGGAATAGAATTTCTGGTTCAAACAGAAATATATTCTAGTCCTTCAGACACATTGTCAAATTGCTCTCTAGAAAAAAACATATGAATGTATACTGCCATTAACAGTATATAAGAATGCCATTTCCCTGAACTGAACAACCTGGATATTATTACTTTAAAAACAATCTTTGACTATTTTATAGAAAAAAAAGTTTGATATCTAATTGCTGTTTTATTTAGTATATCTTGGATTGCTGACAAGGCTGAACATTAAAAAATTTCATCCAGTGGCCATTTTTATTCTTTTTTGCTTTTTCTCTTCATGGCCCATCACATTTTTCTACTGAAGTGTTTATCATTTTGTTGTTGATTTGTATGAGCTCTTTTTTTAAAAAATGTTTTTATTGATTTCAGAGAGAGGAATGGAGAGGGAGAGAGAGAGATAGAAACATCAATGATGAGAAAGTCATTGATCAGCTGCCTCCTGCACATCCCCTACTGGGGGTTGAGCCTGAAACCGGGGCCCGTCCTTGACCAGGAATCGAACCGCGATCTCCTGGATCCTAGGTCGATGCTCAACCCCTGAGCCACACTGACTGGGCTGAACTCTTAATGTATTAAGAATATTCGCTCTTTTATCTGTATTCCAAATAATTTTCCTAGTTTGTCATATGTTTTCCACATTATTTTTGGTGTTATGATCTATTTTTATTTATGATTTTTTAAATATTATATAGAAAAACTATCAAACATTTCTTTCTTTCATTGTTATAATGTTTAAGAAGGCCTTAGCCACTCTAAAATCATACTTTCAAAGTTTTTTTAATGTAAACTTTATCTAAAATATATTTGTCTACTTTGAGGAAAGGATATAGAATTATTTTCAAATATTACTGTTTCTTCAATATCATTAATTTAAAATCCTAAGTGGTGTTTTTTATCAAAAGGTATCTTTTCAAATAATGAAATATTTCAAATATCTTTAAGTCACTTTGGAGACTTTAGTAGAATATAGAAAAATAAAAGGCTGTAAGATTTGTTGTATAAAGAAAATGACAGGGAACTAGATAAAAAGGGCATTGGTAGAAAATAACAATAATAATAATAATAATTTGGAAGATCTTGAAGGGCCAGAGGAAGCCTTGGCTGGGAAAAATTAATGTTTCAGAGCAGCAACTTTTATATAAGAAATACTATAGCAGTCAAGATGGTGAGGTGACTCAGGATAGGAAGAAAACAAGAATTCTAGGGACACTGAATGAAAATGGTAGAATTCATGACAAAGGCCGAAGTAATTGAACGAAGAGAAAAGGAGGAGTTGATATTAAAGACTATGACTGATAGGAAGTTCCACCATAAAAAAAGGAAGTCATGCTGAGTTGGAATCCAAAGAGAAAAAGGCCAAGAGTTCAGTTTTGACCATGCTGGTTTCCAATAGCAAGAATATTTCTATAAATGACCTCATGTGAAGAATCCTTAGATACTGAATATTATTCTTGTATGAAACAGTGTTTTGTTTTGTTTTGTTTTGTTTTTAATCTTCACCTGAGGATATTTTTTTTCATTGCTTTTCAGAGCAAGTGGAAGGGGGGGAGGGGGAGAGAGACAGAGACATCGACGTGAGAGAGACACATCAATAGGTTGCCTCCCACACACCCCGGATAGGGGCCAGGGCAAAACTGTGGTTTTTAAATTGAGAAAATCAGAAAGGTGAAAACAGTAGAGTGCTATACATTGTGATAATACTGTGACCAAGAATTAGAAGACATTTTTAAGCAACTCAATGTGGAAGACACAGTGCTTTGGGCGAAATGGTCCCTTTTCCTAAGGACAATCTAATTGGGAAAAGTCATATAAAAATAATTATATGCGAGACAAAATATGTAAAGTGCAATTAGAGAGTTATAAGCACAAGTGCTGAAGGATTCTCTGACTGGGGAGAGATTTTTACCCAGGAGCTAGGTTTTATTTAATGGTATCTTTTATGATATAATGTTTAACAATTATTTGAGTCATTGTGCCTCACCCACCCGTGGGCAACTATAATTGGTTAAGTTTAGAAAAAGATTCATCAGAGTCCTCTATAAAACTGCAAAATTTAAGACCTGGGAAGAATCACAGAAACTATGCAGGCCAACTCCCATCATTTTACAATGAGGATAGCTGATCGCCAGCGATGCTTTTCCCACTACCCCAGACATCACTGACTTTGTAAGTTACAAATCAAACGTCTGCTGGGACTTTAATACTTCTAATTTTGTCTTATTGACACATTTTCAATTGCCACAACTTCAGAGGTGTTTATTACATTGATTTTTTTTTTAATTTAGAAAAACCTCAACTATGGAATGTTTAGGGCATAGAGGCTTCTGCTTAATATTTGTTTCACTTGCCAGTTAGCTGAGGAAAGAGCCAATTTTCTTTTCCTTTTTCTTTCTTTTTTTTTTTTTAACCAACATTTTGTTTTGAAAATTGTCTAAAAACTATTTTAAATTTAGGGAAGTTTTACTATCTTAGTAAGTAGTTAATAGGTTACAGATTTGAATCTCTTTGAGTAAAGATGTTATTGTCAAATTCTCATGATTTTAAAAAGTTTTTTCTATGTGGTATTTATAAAAAAGTGTTGATAACTATACCCTCGACTCTAGGATAATGGCTGGGACATCTCAATGTCCATCTCAAATTCTCTCTCTCTCTCTCTGTCCCTCTCTCGTAATCCAGATATCTAATATCAGTTTATTTTCATGTGCTGTGCCATGTTCCTTTAAGTTAAAAAAAAAAGAAAAAATAATATTCTGATTTTATGATGAGTTTTTCTTCAAAAACATAATATTACTCTTTGTCCTGTCAATGTACCAATACCGCAAATCAAATTACACAGGCTGCACTAAGGCACTTTTATTCCAGACACTCAAACATGAGCCCACTGACTGTTAGTGTCTAATGACTGTGAGGGCACTTGTGAGGGTAAAGACAGTTTGACCACCGAGCCTTCAGCTCAGAGAGAAACAGCCCTGATACTGTTCAGACTATAACGATTCAGCAAGTGACATTCCCAGAGGCAACTTTTGTGTTCAGATTTTGACCAGTGAGTCTAGAGGAGGGAAAAAAGACATAGGGCGAAAGTCATGAGCAGGTCAAATACATGGAGGGTGGAGAGGGAAGGTGGAACAGGCCTCTTGTCTTTGGCTGGACAGGGCAGTGGAGAAGCTGAGACAAGTAGATGCAGTGGTAAAATTGCAAAACTATTTAAGTAACTGGAGTGTGATTTAATCCTTTAGAGAGACATGGGAAGGGATGATTTTCTGAGCAATAAAGATGCAACAGGAACTGACTGTGAAGCCTGAAATCAGAGTTACGGTCAGAAGGGAAATTGGGAGGGTGGTTAATCCTTTTATTTTCATGCCTTATGAGTTAAATGCTAGAGTGACACATCTCAGCTAAGAGATGGTTGGCAATAAAAGAGAGGGCAAAGAGTGAAAAGGCGGAGGTCGCCCTGACCTTGTGCAACAAAGAACAGCAACACCTCCTGAATCACTGCTGTGACTCTGGGCACCTGTGTTTAATTTGAGGGCCTCCGTCCCTCTTACATTATGAGACCTAATGAGATCATGGCTGGAGGTGGTATGACTGAACATTTTGTGGCTGAGTTATGCACATTTCTGTTTTATCCCCTAATCTTGGTGATGAAATCACTGTTGCGAATTGAATCAGAGTTTCACTATGGCTGGCATGCAATTTATTATTCTCAGTACACATTTTCCTCTTACCAAAAATGGTACTAACATCTTGGGGTCATGTTCATCTGTGCAAAACAAAACAGAAAGTATGAAAACCACTTTAAATCTCCTCTGGAAAATGATTTAGAAAAAAATGTTAACGTCAGACTTTTAAAATTCAGGATTAAATTATTATTCTTTAAATCAACTTTAGGTTGAAAATTTCTAGATTTTGACAAGATATATTTTAAGTTGAGAAGTTGGTTAATTATGAAACTTCTAAATGCTGGTTTCCCTCTATAAGTAAAGATAATACACATATAATAAACAAATTCATTGTGGCTTATTTGGCTAATTGCAGGCTCACATTTAGGCTGCTAGGACTCTGACTTTACTATGGCACTACCTTCCACATACAAAACTGGCACAATGAGCTAACTAAGCTCACTGAAATACTGAGCAATTTGTTCTTAAGCTTTTAGACTCTTCTTGCTGGGTTGTTGTCCACCCAAAAGCATGAGCATATCCGTTGATGATAGCTGCATGATTTGTAGTCATGGATTGAAGAAAATGTCTTGTGACCTCATGCTTGTGACCAAGATTCTACTATTTAGCCATGTTAAAAATGAAGTTCAGTGGATATAACAGTTGATAGGGGGACCAAGTCCTAGTTCCATCATTGCTCTTTTCATGACTCTGGAAAACTGTTTTCCTAAACACTGGGTTTTACTTTCTTCTTCCGTCAAACAGAGCACAGTGTCTTGAACCCAGTAGGCATTCAGCGTATATTTATTAAATTAAATACAACAATATGTCACCCAAGACTCTGGCTGCAAATAATACAACTTCAATTTCAGCCAGCTTCAGCTCACAGGAGGGTTTGTGGGTTTATACAACAAGGCTGAGGGAACTGCAAGAATGCACCCGGCTAGAATCAAGGACTCAAACAGCATTAGCACTCTAGCTCCTCTGAATTCTTTCAAATCAGCTAAATCCACTTCACAGGGGTCATGGCCACCAGCAGCTTTTACCTTTGTGACCAGAAAGGAAAAGGTCCCTTTTGCTCTGGTTGAGATATAAAAATTCTAAAGCCAAATTCTCATTGGTCTGATTAGCATCATGATTCACACCCCTTGGATCAATTAATATGCCTCCAAGAGTGAATCCTGCAGAAGCATTACACACACACACACACACACACGAATCCTGAAGTTATATATATGAAAGTTCACAGATGACTTTAGGGAAAAGGAGTGGTATACCTGTAAATGTGAAATGCTCGTTTTGTTAAGAGATTTCAGTTTCTTCCTACATTAGCTGTGTAGAAGCTATTTTTAGGAGTAAAGGGGTCAGAGCAGGAGCTGCATGTTTTCACAGAGCTGGCTCAGGGCTCTTCTCTTGCTCCAGGCGTTTTAACACTGTCATGTCTTCAGGATGGACTCCTGGGCCTTCTGTAGCCCTGGAAGGACAGGAAGGTCCCTCTCTTTCTCCTACAGAGCCTGGCATTCATGTCTGGGAATCAGAACAAATCTCTAAGTTTTAGCATAAATTAATTATGAGAGAAGCTGCCTCAGTGTAATAATGAAAGTAGCTACTGTTGTGTGTCAGACACTGTTAGGAGCTCTCCGTGGTGCAGTGAGGCCAGCTAGTGCTGACACCTGAGACCCTAGTAGTAGCACATCTTCTCTTTTCATGTTCACTATGTCTAGGTGGCAGCTCAAAATGGCCATATTGAGGTACTTATACCATAAAAATGGCAAATGTAACAAATCAGGACTCCCTCCCACCCATGAAGAGCCAGTTGTCAAACATTTACCAGCTTCGTATATTATGTTACTTAACCCTCATGATGCTCTCACGATTGTATTGTTACCCTCATTTTAGAAATTAATAAAACAGGAGAAAAATCAGAGGCTAAAAAAAAATACATAGTGCATTACTTCCTTGAACGTAGTCCTGCCTGCTCCAAAGCCTGCACCCTGCATGTTAGGTGGCACCTGACAGTGAGCTGCCTTTTCCTTAGCAGTTCTTCCATTTGTCACTTGTCACATCGACACTGAAGTGTCAGCTCTTCTAGGAAATGGATGTAGAAGATTCTTTTCTAGCAATAAAAGTGCCTTCACTCAGCCGCAAACCTCTGTGCTTCCCCCTTCCTGCTGCAGGTGGTTCATCGGGGACTGGCTGGAGTGCAGCAAGACTTGCGACGGCGGAATGCGTACGCGGGCCGTGCTCTGCATCAGGAAGATCGGGCCTTCTGAGGAGGAGACGCTGGACTACAGTGGCTGTTTAACACACCGGCCTGCTGAGAAAGAGTCCTGCAACAACCAGTCGTGTCCACCTCAGTGGGTGGCTTTGGACTGGTCAGAGGTAAGGAAATCTGAAGCCCTATGTTTTGAGATGTCTTAACTGTTAATACCAAAGCATTTAACATTAAGGACAGCTGAGCATGTAAGCATCTTAGAACTCAGTCAGTAAGGACTGCAAAACCATGAATTAAGCCTTGTTATATTCTATTGCTGCTTATCAGGAAGTAAGGTTTTGGGGGTCGGAAAAATCAATGAGAAAGTAGCCTGATTCAAAATAAGCCTAAAGTGAATTTGAGAGAATATTATAGTGCGTACTCATCTAAGTGGTTTTTCATCTTTACTATTCTTGAACAGCCTCACAGCCTCAGAATTAGTGACATGTTATATCTTCTTTTCCAAGTAATGATCCAGCTTAACTACATAACTCAGATATAAATCTTTGTCAATTTATTATCACTTGTTATATATCTAGATATATTTTAGTTGCTTCTGTTGAATCAGGAGAAGAAAGCTGGAGCTGAGGTTGTAACACACCAAAAAGTCAAACTTAGATTTTCATCATTACCTCCGTTTAAATGATCAGTGAGGAAGACCTACTAAGATAATGTTTTCCTGGCATACATGTATATAAAAGAACCTAACATAGTCCAGAGGCCTCAGAAAAATTGTCTCATGGAAAATGAGGTAAGTGGTAGAGTTAATTCTTAACTCCTCATTCTGCAGAGACATACAAATACACACTAGGCCATCCTCCACATTTCCCAAAGGAGAGCTGGATCCTGTTGTGTGGTTAATGGTAAGAAGGATGAGTACCTCGTTATATAGCTGAAGGTCATTCTTCTAGTTGGCAAAACAGGTTGCATTTCATTCTAGAAACATTGTGGTACTTGCTTTAGGTGCTTCCTGCAATGGAGATTTCGACCAGTTGTGGTTATCCATGGACTCTTTGGCAGGAATTGGGAGTGTTCTCCCAAATTTCCTGGCCACAGTCCAGCTTCAGTAATTACATTCTGCCCACCTAAATTTCATTTGTGTTTCAATCAGATGTAGAGATATTCTTGATATTATTCACTCAATGGTTATGACAAACAGTATGAATTCTTCTGTTTCCTAACAGTGGGTGGATTAACTCCTAAATTCATTGGACAGATAACACCCATTGGAAAAGAATACAGTCTACAGAGTTGTACATGTCAGTACTTCAGTGTTTGAGACCCATATAGAAGTCCATAAATAGTCTGTGATTAATGTTGACAAACTTGTTTTGGGGGAATTTAATGGGAGGCCTGATGATTGGCTGCAGCAGTTTTAGGGGTTCAGGTCAAGTCAGTAAGCATAATCGAGTCTCACTAAACATGCTGGTCTAGGCACTATGGAGAATACAAGAGGGTTTATAAGGCTGGGAAAAGAAGAAATACCCATTTAACAGCTTGAGTAATATAAGACAGTGTTGAACAGAATGGTGGCTTATCCCATATAAATGTATAAGTGACATAGAAATTCAGAGCTGAGGAGGTCAGAATGGCCTGGAGTGGATCAGAAAGCTTTTTGGTTTATGGGAATTGAACTGAATGTGGGGGCAGTACAGGATTTGGAGCAGGGAAGAAAATAGGGAAGCTGGAGAAGGTATTTCTGAGAAGAGAAACAACTGAACAGAAACACAGAGACCATGTTGAGTTGGAGAAAAGGGTTTGTTTTAAAGAATAAATGGACGATAAGATTGACTAAAGCAGTGATGGGTAGCAAGAAGGCTTGAAATCAAAGCTTTATACCACATCATTTTTCTACAAAAAGTGGAGAAATTAGACAAGTTCATAAGCAGAAACTAGAAAAAATTTCAACCAACCACTAAAACACCAAAACCTCTTCATGCACAGACTCATTTCACATTGGTCTCTCGACCTACATATTTCTGTATCATTATATTTTTATTTTAACCTAAAGCAACCAAATACAATCACCTTGAGAAATAGCTTATGTGTATTACTGTATGTTTCCATTCCAAATACCATTTTAGGGTTTTCTTCCTAATTCAGCCTCATACTGGTTGTAGATATCCTACTTTCAGAATTTTGGTTCTTATCTATCTGATCTTAGAAGGGACTTGCTCAGGTGGCTCTAAGAGGCTCTTAGGCACTCCCAGGAGCTGCCTGAAGAAACGTGTGTAAACTGAGGGGGCTTTGAATCACATTGCTGCTGCCTTCCTTAAGACAACTGGGCCAAAGCTTAGGACAAAGGAGTGCGGAGGGTATTGAGTGATGTGTTGGGACAATCTCCTCGAATAAAGAAATGGTGGCCGCTGTTGTTTCTCCACAGACATTGCAGGAAAAGATTCTAGGGTAAGCATTGGCCAAGAAACGCTGCCATGACCACCTCACAGATTCTAGTTGGACACCATCAGTCCCAACACCTTCAGCCTTTATTCAGGAGGCAAGAGAATTTTTGCCCCACCCAGTCTCTCCTGTTTGTTTCCTGCAAGAGGGATGCACTCTCTCGCTTCCATTGCCTTACCTTACTTTACCAGGAAACCCGCCTCTTCCCTAAATGGGTTAAAAACAAGTGGAAGTCACTTGCATTAAGTGAAACAAGTGTCTGAATAGCTCTGGAGAACAGAGTGAGAACAAGGAGCCTGTTCTTCCCAGAGGAATGGACGCCTCCCACTAGTGAAAACGGAGGCCCGGGCAGGCAGAAGGGCAGGCAGTGCTCAATCTCTTTCCGCTAACTTCTGCAAATATTTCGCACAATATTCTTTTGACACTCCCATGAAAACTTCCCTCCTCTTTCTGGCCTCTCCCCATGTCCAACTCTCAGCTGTCTGAGCTCCGCTAATCACAAGGGTGAGGTTCAACTGGGGAAAACATGTTGCAGCAAGAGGAATGTACCCTCTGACCTTTTCTTTTCATTGCCAGCCGCTCTAATATAAAATTTCCATTGTTGCAAGACCAGGAACCGTTTTTTATTCTTCATTTTCCCCATCAGTAAAACCCACCCGGTGCTTATGGCAAAAGGAAAAAAAAGCAAATTACCTTGGTGGAAAATGGCTCTTCAGCAGCCTTTTGTGAGATGGATGAAGCCACACTTTCCCATTTCCTATCATCTAGCCTCACTCTTGGGATCACCTATGCTATGTTGGACTTAAATAGTTTTCTGTTTTGCCCTCTCTTGGCATGTAACTCTTACAAGCACTGCTGCATACTGTGGATGGCTCCAGCAATCCCAAACCTTTCTTTTAGTGTATCGGGATAGTTAATATTGACTCCCACAGAGCACCCATTGAAAATGGTCTGTTTCTTGTACTTACTCTTGGACAAGTGATGACCAGCACCATAATCAGTTAACTTCATAGGACTAACTTTTAGGTAGCATTACTTAAGTTGGATGGGGGTAAGGAGAATCTACCCATAAGGGATTGTGCTTTGTTTTGTTGATAATTGTGGTATCACCTTGCTTATTCCTAGGTTCCACTCTGGTGCTATATCTAAGTAACTGAAACCCAGCTCTCCAGAGAGAGCTCAGTCTAACCCCAAAACATTAACATTTCTATCCTTCACAAGTGAGAGCCAAATTGTTTTCCCTGGTGTAGTTTCAAGTACTTTTTTTCTGAAAAATATGTTTTTGCTTCTTAATCACAGAACATTAAATGAAAACATAAATGCATCTCTCCCAAAAATCGCTTCCTATATCCCACCGAGATGAAAACAAAAGCCAAATGGTCTGGTCAGATTTTAAAGAATTGTAAAATTCTCACTATGAATAAAAGAGGAAAATTGATATTTACCTGCAATAAGGTGAAACAGAAACAATTTTACTAAAGAAGATTTGTCCACTGAAACAACATCTTCTACCCAGCTATCTAATAATTTGTTATGAGAATAAAGGGAATGGATTTTGATGTTTATAACTATAATATAAAAATATTTTTATTACTGAACTAAATATTTAATTTCTGATTATTACTAATGAATTTTACTGCATAATCAAAAAGTACAAAAACACACCCTTCACATGGGTATAGACCAAGGATTATCTCTGAAGATGCTCTGAAGTATTCATAACTAAGTTAATGCCTATTAATCACATACATAATAATGGCTATATCTTGTTTTTCTAGAATTTCTTTTTTTGATAGCTAAATAAAACAGAGGCTGTCAGATGGATAAACATTCATCAGAAGGCAAAGAGGGGCAACGATGAAATGTAAGCCTAATAAAGCAGAATGAAGAAGAAAAATAAAAACAAGCCGAGAGACGTCTCTGCTTGAACATTTCTGACATAAGGTCGGAAGAATTTGCAGGAGAGCGTTCCTCTTAGAATGAAGCTGATCTAACTGGTATCCTTTTTTACAAGCAATTTTTAAACTTTTAATTTATAATCACCCTTAAGAAGTACATATCTGCAGAGACCAGAGTTGAGATTCTGGCTACAGGCATAATATTTGTGACTAGATCTGCAGGGCTCAAGGACTGCTGTTTTCATTGAATCAGAATGTGGCAGACATGTAGTTTTTAGTCATTTGCTAATTTTTTTTTTTTTTAAATATATCTTTATTGATTTCAGAGAGAGGAAAGGAGAGGGAGAGAGAGAGATAGAAACATCAATGATGAGAGAGTCATTGATCAAGCCCGCAACCGGGCATGTGCCCTGACGGGGAATCGAACTCCGATCGCCTGGATCCTAGGTCAACGTTCAACCGCTGAGCCACGCCTGGCGGGGCAGTCATTTGCTATTTTGAGAATCCAGTTGATTACCTCTCTACTTCTGTAAAACAGAATATCCTTGGCTTCTTTAGTGCAGCTTTGGCTGTAATGTTCTAAACTTATTTCTTGCCTCAGTAGAAGGCATCATTGTACACTCAGCTTTGCAGAGAACTGCACAGAAGGCTTGTGCGTTTGCACGATTGTCCTCCAGAGCTTTATACTGGTAGGAGCCTGCCGTCTGGATTTATCTGTCCCCCTCAGTGCTTCCGTTTCCCACCAGTAAAATGGGGGTGAAAGTGGTACTTCATGAGGTTTCTACAAGGATTAGTTAGATTATGACATCTCAAGGACTTAGAACACTGCCCTGCACAATAAATATTAGAGGTGCTTTCTCTCTTTAGTCTTCTCTCTCTTACTCATAACCTTATTTGTTTTGTTTTGCCTTTGGTCTCCTGTTAGTCCTTGCATTGCCTGCCTCCCTGACTATAAGCAGGACGTTGGCATAGTCTCTTAGGAAAGCCTGCCTCAGTCTTCAAATAATAGCAGAAGCTCTTGCCAGTGGAAAAAGATATTAGACAAGTAAGGCACATATGTCCCAGGCTGCACCATGTATATGTACGCTCTGAAAATGTGAAGGGGGAGAGGTGTGGCACAAGTACATTTTTCAATAAATGTTCCCAATATAGAAAAATAATCATAGTCTCAAGTTACTAAAATGGAATTCCCTATACATCCTGTGCTTCTGCCTGTATCCCCAAAGTCTAAAGTACCCTCTATCCTCTTGTACTTTACCTTAGTTAATTTTTATAATAATTAATACATCTTATCTGTTCTCACAGCTTTGTTTCTGCCAGTGCTAGGAGCCAAAGTATGGACCAGAGCCTTAGGATTTAGTTCCAGCTCTGCCACTTGCTCTCTGTTTAACTTTGATTAAGCTGCTTAAGCTTTCCTCATCTGTAACAATTCTCGAAAACTTGTATAAAAATAACGTATTTGAAAGCATTTTGTAAACCGCGGAGCTCTAATGGAATGTAAGCTAATGGAGTTATTATTATTACTATTATTATTGAATAACAGTAAGCATTAAGAAAGTGACAGTAGTCCTCTAAGGCTTTGCTTTCTAACATTGGTGGACGGTGGAGGAGCCTTGGTGTGGAGTCAAGAGGACTATACCCCAGATCAAGAGCCTTGAATCAGGGCTTTATTTATCCTGTGGAGGCCATGACTGCAAGATATGGTGGCGTGCCTTGGCTTCTTAAAATATTGTGATAGGACTGTTGTGAAGATTAACTGAGAATATATGTAAAGTACATAGTGTAGTGCCTGGCATCTAGGAAACACTCTGTAGGAGTGAGCATTGGGCCTGCCATTTAATAGTTGTCTGAGTGTCTACCAATTACTTATCCTAAGATTGTGGTGGTTTTTTTTTTCATTTTGAAGACAGAATAATAATTGCCATCTCACAGAACTTTTGTGAGGACTATGTAAATTATAGCACTTAATACTTGGTGTACACAGTGTTTATTAAATGGTAGCTACTATTATTATTGTCGTTCTTAATAGTTATAGTAGTCGCAGCAGCAGCAGCAGTAGCTTTGGGCCTGGGGCCGGGCTAGCACTTGGCATGGAGAGATGAATTTGAGGAAGTAAGCAGAAACTTCCCACCAGGATACAGTAAGCACATTTAAAGAGTGAGTTTTTTAATCTTGAAGGCAATAGTGAGCCACTGGAGGATTTTTTTCAATCAGAAGAGAATATAATTGGATGTGTGCTTTAGAGAGTGAGTTGGGGTGAGACAAGAGCAAGAAACAGGAGACCTGTTGGGAAGCCACTGCAATGTTACATGTAAGCAACGACGCTCTCTGTAGTAAGGTTAGTGGTAATGGAGACAGAGAAATCATCAGATGCAAGAGAGATTTAAGAGTTGAACTAACAGAACCTAGTGGTTGGTTATATGGGTAGAGTGAGGCAGCAGCTGGAAATAAGAATGTTGATTTGGCTGTGAAAGGGAATAAGGGGTCAGAGATTTCTCTCTTGATCCCTAAGTCCCTAGCCGAAGCCTCTTTTGGGACCATGTTAGAAAGAACCGAACGTTACCCTCCTTCAGAATGCATCCCAATGACACTTCTTCTAAGTTGGAGGAAATGTGTTGTTATTCATTCAGTGTGGTGAAGCATCTTCATGGGATCCTTGGTATTCACCTGAAAACATGTTAATATTTTTCTTTCTTTCTATGGCATGTACCGGGTTCAAGGATTGCCCCAGGCAAAGCCTCTCAGGGATATGTAGTGTTCATTAAGACCTCCTCATGCCACAGCTAGTACATCTTGATTTACCTGATGGTAAATCAAAACCATCATCTTTCCAGACAAAGGCCAGCGTATATTTATCGAGTGCATACTCAAAGCCTTCTGCTGGATCCTGGGAGTCGGTGGTGTGGTGTACAAAGAGAAAGCAGAAATGAAATAACTTTAAGGAGCTTATAATCTGGTAGGGTTGAGAAGACATGCAAATACATAATTATCAAATGGGCAGATGGTGATTAGGGGCACAGAATTCTTATATTCCACATCTTCTCTTAGGGTGTTTAACGTATTTACATGCTATCTCCTACATGAAACTTTGAGCCCCTAGAAGCGTAAAGGCTGTCTTGGGGGGTCATTGTTATGCCCCTTTCCCCCCAGACTAGTTCCTACAGGAGATGTGAAAATGTTTTTTAAATAAAAGGTATAGAAACGGGTTCAAGATGTTGTAGGAAAGGTTCTCTTGTGAGAGAGAGGAAGTACAGATTTTAAGGAAGAGTTCAGATGTGCAGAGGAGAAAGCTGGAGGACTTGAGTCCACCACTGTATTAAGTAGGTGACTCTAACACAGCCTTGGATTAACCTGGAGAAGGCGAATAATAGCCTTTGTGACACAGGAAAAAGCACCTTGTCCTTAGTATGAACGGACTGATCCAATTAAAGGACAGTAGAATTCATCATATTTAACTGATGGACAGGGAAAATCCAGAGGCTTTCTGAGCAGTAAACCATCACCTGCGGCCATGTATTCTTAGCTACCCCGCTGTGAGAATGCCCGTGTAAATCAGCCCCTAGCTTGTTTCACAAAGACAAGTTCTCCTGGACTAATTGAAGAAGAATTTTCTTGAGAAGGCTACACCCAGCAAGTAGGAAACCAACGATTGATTCCACATTCCAGAAATTAGCAGAATCTTATCGTAGCTGATTGTGGCCAAGGATGGGGAGGAATCGAGGCGTAAACCTACCTGCAATAAAAAAAGAAAATAAGCTAGCCAAGAAAAGCAAACTTTGAGTTTAGCTCTTAAAGACCTTAGGGGGAAAGATAGAAGTACTTCTGCTTAAAAACTTAAGGAGTTTTCATACCTGAAAGACTTTGCCCAGAATTTAGTGGGTTTGTGCGCTGTACACCCTAACACATACTCACTTTAAGAAACACTGTCTTCGAATTCTCTTCTCTCTTTCCACTGTCGATATTCACCAGTGTTTGTTTTCTTTCCAGTGCACTCCCAAATGTGGTTCAGGATTCAAGCATCGGATTGTTCTGTGCAAGAGCAGTGACCTTTCTAAAACGTTCCCAGCCGCACAGTGTCCGGAGGAGAGCAAGCCCCCGATCCGCATGCGTTGCAGCCTGGGCCGCTGTCCTCCACCCCGCTGGGTGACGGGAGACTGGGGCCAGGTAAGGCACTTGCCCGGTGCGCTCCTCTGAGGCAGCACCTGGAGATGCTTCGGTTCCTGACCGGCTCGTTGTGATGTCTCAGGACATGAGTAACAACACGTAGAAATCTAGGTGTAAGATATGAGTGTGAAACGATGCACAAGTAGCAGCAGCCCCCCCGTAGACACACTTAGGTATGGTTCTCCACCCCACACACTTCTCACTTCTACCTCCTCCTTGGATCCTGATGTTTTAACTTAAAATTAAAAGCAAGATAGTCTAGGTGGCCACAGATTTAAACAGGCTACCAAAACTTCGAATTCTGGTCCCAGCTCTCTCAACTAATTCAAGTACAAATCAGTTAACACCAGTGTCTTAATTTTCCTACTTGCAAAATAATTCCTCTTAACCTCACAGAAAAGATATGGGGGTTTTGATCGACAGTCTTTGAAATGTCATTAATACTTATTTTTTAATGGGTTTTTCTGATGGAGACTATGAATTGGGAAGCAAGTACATAGGGCTTTTGGTATGTACTTGCATATTATACTCACTTCCAGGCCATGTTCCAATTCTTTTCTTTTTCCTTTCTCACTTTTAATTGTGTTATCTTGCTGAAGGTACCTTAAATCCTTTAAAAGCAACTCTGTAACCTTTTTGTGTAGAAGGAAAGTTAAGTATTATTGTTGTTGTTAAATGTACAAAAGAAAANCTTTTTGTGTAGAAGGAAAGTTAAGTATTATTGTTGTTGTTAAATGTACAGAAGAAAATCTGTTAGGTTACGTTAAAAAATGACACTCCAGAAACTCAATTTCTAGACTATCAATACCCTTTTCCTGTGGTTTTATAATTAACCTTGTAACTAGTCATTTTTAAATATCTAAGACCCAAATAAGTCATAATGGCATATAATTCCACTGTTACTTTTTGTTTGTGCTCTGGGCCTGCCATTAGTTATTAAAAATGGCATTTCATAGAAGTAGTTACCAAAATTCTGGCCAAAAATGAATATTGCTAGAGTATAGCAGTATCTATAGACCTCTTCTGTCACATTTGGGAGCAAAGATTTTCAGTCTCCATTAAGGCAAATAATTATACTTACTCAGCCCTGTGGGGAGACAAAAGTATGATCATAAAATAATCAACATTTGCACTTGTATAGCAAATAACTAGTAACTTGGTTTTATATAACAGTATTTAGTTTAGTTTACAAAGTGCTCAAGTGGAATACTCAGGAGCATTGTATGCAATTAAGTGTTTCACTATAGAAGCGTGACAGTGTCACAATGTATTATTGATATTACACTATTAAAGAATCAGCACAGCATGGTTGGGTTGCTGGAGGGGTTGGAGAAAAAGAGAGAATGAGCTCATGGACATGGACAACAGTGTGCTGACTGGGGGAGGGGGAGAGGTGGAAGAGGGTATATGAGGGATAAATGGTGATAGAAAAAATAAAATAAAATAAAAATAAATATTTGCAAAAAAAGAATCAGTACAAACATGCACTCATAATTTTCATTTAAACCAGGTAAGAATTTCCTCCTTATATATTCATCATCGTAATGCACTGTTATATAATGGCCCCTTGAAAGTTTTTGCATGTTAGTGATTTCGCCAAATTCACAGTTATCAATTTGAGATTATTCTTTTATTTTTTATTTTTTTTAATATATCTTTATTGATTTCAGAGAGAGGAAGGGAGAGGGAGAGAGAGAGAAACATCAATGATGAGAGAGTCATTGATCGAGCCTGCAACCCGGGCATGTGCCCTGACCGGGAATCGAACCCCGATCGCCTGGATCCCAGGTCGTCACTCAAACACTGAGCCACGCCCGGCCGGGCTGAGATTATTCTTTTAAGTGTCATCAAATCCTTTTCTTCTCATCTATATTTTCAATCCAGTTTCCTAAAATTGAAATTAACCATTCAAAAAGCAAAGATGCTTTAGTACATTTTTATAGTGCATTTATTTGTCATTCTGTATTTAGAAACTTAAAAGTGTCTGTGAATGTCCTTGCAAGTTCTGTATGTGCTTTGAGAGTTTTTGCAAACAAAGCCACAGGGCCTTGGTTTGTTTACCTTGTAAACATGCCCGTGGCCTGTCTTGGCACTGGCTAGCTCTTCATCACTTTGATCGCAAGTCTCACAGGCTTTCTGGTATTCTGGGTGGCAGTCCCGAAGAATAGACCCAGCTTCATTCTTCAGCCTGGACAGCTGATCAGTCTCAGCTGAAACTAAGCCACTCAGAAAATAACTTCAATTCTGAAATAACGAAATCCCCAACTAGGTGAGGGACACATGCTAATTGGCCAACAGCAGACCTCTCAGGTTTGGGTGGCTGATAGTACCTTAGAAAACCTGTGTACTTACTTCCACTGTTTGTTTGTTTTTTAAACTGGCTATATCTTCAGACCTCACAGCAGTCACTGCTGTAACACTGAACTAATGCTTTGATCAGAGTCAGAGCACACCAGTACACCATCATCAGGTTGTTTGCCCACAAGCCTATAATAAATAGTGAGCAATGGTGATGTCCCAGCCCTGGAATCTCTGATTATTCTACTTCGTCATGAGAGTCTTATTATACTCCTATTGGAGTTCACTAGCACTGCTTGGAACTGTTGGAATACTAGCCCAAGAAATCTTTATTTATTGTCTTCTGGGGAACTAAGTTGCTTCTCTTTTCTAGGGTAATGACATGATCCTTGAGTTTCCAAACCAGCTCTATAGTAGAATGACCTAATCATGCACCTCTCGAAGACAAATTACATTTGGGCTTTAAATGCTAATATATGTGATATTTGAAATGACATAGTATCTTTTTTACCTCCTGAAAATTGTTGAGACCTGTATTGTGTTTCTCTCTGTCTTTGGGTTTAGTGTTCTGCTCAGTGTGGCCTTGGACAGCAAATGCGGACCGTGCAATGCCTCTCCTACACTGGACAGGCGTCTAGTGACTGTCCAGAAACTGCTCGGCCTCCGTCGATGCAGCAGTGTGAAAGCAAATGTGACAGTACCCCCACTACCAATACTGAAGGTGAGTTTCGCGGGAAGAAGAAGCCCGCGATTCCCAGAGCTTGAAGAGACCCATAAAACCACTGTTTGTATAGAGCATTTATGAAAGCTGGGTATGTACTGTATATGTAATCAGAAAACCTGAGTTTTTTCCTGGCTCTTCCCCTAACTTTATGACCTTGTTAAGTCAGTTAACCTTTCTGGAGTTAAGTTTACTGATCTATACAATGAGAGATTGGAGTGGATAATCTCTAAGGTCATGTCCAACCTAGCATTCTATGTTTGACTTGTGCGAGAAATATAGAGATGATTTTGAATGAACCATGCTTAAGAGTGAAAACTTCTGTTTTTTATGGATCTCTACCATTGTGAAGATTAAAATTCCTGCTTGTTGTGCATATAATGAGAGCATATGTTTGAAACTACTTACGTTTCAAATGCTAATTTTCTGATTGTAGAAAAGTGGAAAAGGTAATTATATCACGGTTTATGTAGGAGGACAGAGGCCTTTAGACTCTGAAGTTTCTCTCTGTTATATATTGGGAAATCTCTTTGGTAACAACAGATAACCAACCAAATCCTAAGTTTTATTCTATCTTTCAATAAATGTACTTTATCCAGTTAGACATACTCATTTGAAATTTCCTGAATGCTACTATGTACAAGGCGCTGTAACAGAAACTATGGGTGTATAGAGACAAATATGGCATAGTCAGGAGGTCAAACTGCATTCTCCTGAAAACAGAGGCATGATCAAATACATACACACAAACATCTGAAACCACGAATTTAAATTATGTTGGAATCCCAGCCCTAGGGCTCTGCTTAAAAAGCAAAGTAAAACAGAAATAAATAACTATCCTAAATATAGTTATTAATATTTTTCAAATGAAAATGATATTCTCATAAACCTGTTAAAAAGAGATATATTCCTTTTGACCAGTTTTATCCAGTTTGAAGGATTTTTTAAATCCTATTTTTTAATGTTTCCATGGGGATTTGATTTTAGGAAGACCAATCATCTTGCATGACAAGATGCAGAATTGTTGCATCTTTACAGATCATCTGGATTTTACATCAGGATCTCAACACAGTGTACTTCTTGTGTGACTTACTCTTTCAAAGAAATATAGCCTTATTCTACATTAGTTCAAAATCACAGCATTAATTTGCAAAATCTCTGGTTCTAAATGATCTAAATAAAAATATCTTCTATGAGGACTGCATCAAACTTTTTTTGCAAATTATTAGTTATCAATCACATGGGTTTGGGAATCTATTTTTCTTTTAGAGTTGGAAGATAAAAGGTTAAGGTGGAAGAGAAGACATAACTATCATACTAAATTAGTTTATGTTGGGCATTATGTTAGGCCGTTTGTATTTATTATCCATCTTATATATCTCATGTACGTAAATACCTGTGTGTGTGTGTATTATATAATCATGGCCACAGCCTTCTGAGAGTTGGTATTACTAATAAGGAAACTGAGGCACAAAGAGAGATAGTGAATTGCCCAAATTACAAGACTCAGAAATAGCAGTGTCTGGATTTGAACCCAAATTTGGCAGAGCCCAAGGGTATATCAGTTTCAACTACATTATATGCTATTTGTAATTCACTCTTTAAAAGTAGGTGTTTTAACATGAAGACAGAGCTTCTGGTTGTGAAGTAAGGATACTTCTGGCATCACCATCAACCTAATTCAACATATTAAGTCTTAATCATTGCTGGAAGAACTGGCTTCTAACATGCCCCCAATGATACATTTTGAGGTTGTGTTTAGCGCTTCATTTTCAGCTATTTTAGTAATTTCTCCAAAAGCTTCTGTATAGTGAGTAATTATTATACATAAGCTTTGCAGCTGAAGATGAAATGCTGTTTTTAGAGTGGGCAGAATATCATTTGTAACGTCACTTAAAGAAATTCTCTTAAAATGGGTAGATGTTAATGTGATGATGTTTGAATTATTGAGAGAAACACCTCATAGTCATTTAATCTGGCAGGCCAAATAATATTTTATCATATTAACTTGAAAAAAGCAGTTAAGACAGTATTTTTAGCCTTTTCAGTAAAGGAGGAAACTTTTAGGAAATTATTAATCCTACAAAGTATGACTAATCTTAGAATTGTTATCCCCCTAAAGCTGTTGACTCATTTAAAAGAGGATCACTCTTGAGATTAATCAGCCTGCAGGCAGAGGCAGACCTCAGAATGCTTAGAGTCTTTGCCTGATCTGCTTCGGGACCCAGGCCTTGGAAAAGCAGACTTTGGTGTGCATCTTGGTCCTGTCCGACTGGACCCAGCCCCAGCAGAGGAGATCTCAAGCTGAGGGTTATTGGTAGCTCCAAATAGGGTACTCAGGGCCAGTCACAAACTATGTTTGACATTGGCCTGCACCAGAGACCCTCCAAAAAGACTGAGAGTCCTAGCAGACCTACCTAATACATAGAAACAAACCCCCAACAGGCAGCCAAAGTAGGGAGACCAAAAAACAAGCCCCAAATGATAGAACAAGAGAAGTCTCCAGAAAAAGAGCTAAATGAAATAGAGATAAGCAATCTATCAGATACAGAGTTCAGAATACTGATTTTAAGGATGCTCAACAGCCTGAAAAAAGATATGGAGACTATGAAGGAAATTAAGAATGACATAGCAGAAATAAAGAATACATTGGAAGGAATAAACAGCAGATTAGAGGAAGCTGAGGATCAGATCAGTGAATTAAAAGACAGGGTAGAAACAATCAATCAGAGACTCAAAAAGAAAAAAACAATTAAAAAACAGGAGGACAGTCTAAGGGAGCTGTGGGACAACATGAAACATAACAATATTCACATTATAGAAATGCCAGAGGAGGTCGAAAGTAAGCAAGGGTTAGAGAACCTGTTTGAAGAAATAATGGCAGAAAACTTCTCTAACCTGGTCACAGAAAAATTCATGCAAGTCCAGGAGGCACAGAGAGCCCCAAGCAAGAAGAATCCAAAGAGGCCCACGCCCAGACACATCATAATTAAAATGCCAGGAATTTAAGACAAAGAGAGAATCTTAAAGGAAGCTAGAGAAAAGCAATCAGTTACCTACAAAGGAGACCTCATAAGGCTATTAGCTGACTTCTCATCAGAAACTCTACAGGCCTGAAGAGAATGGCATGAAGTATTCAAGGTAATGCAAAACAAGGATCTGAAACCAAGACTACTCTATCCAGCAAGACTATCATTCAAGATAGATGGTGATATAAAGAGCTTCCCAGACAAAAAAAAAAAAGGCTAAAGGAGTTTATCACCACCAAACTAGCATTGCAGGAAATGTTAAAGGAACTACTGTAATTAGAAGTAGAAATAAAGAGAGAAACATAGGTATAAAGAATTAAAATGGCAATAGATAAGTATCTATCAGTAATAACCATAAATGTAAATTGGTTAAATGCCTCAATAAAAATATATAGGGTGGCTGAATGGGTAAGAAAACATGACCCAAATATATACTGCCTACAAGAGACCCACCTTAGAACAAAAGACTCACACAGGATGAGAGTGAAGGGATGGAAAAAATTTCCCATGCAAATGGAAATGAAAAAAAAAGCTGGGGTGGCAATACTCATATTGGACAAAATAGACTTCAAAATGAAGACCATAATGAGAGACAAGAAAGGTAATTACATAATACTAAAGGAATCAATCCAACAAGAGGATATAACCCTGATATGTATGCATCCAATATAGGAGCACCTAAATTTATAAAAAAAACTTCTAGAGGACTTTAACGGAAAGATCAACAGTAATACAGTCACAGTAGGGGACTTTAACACCCCACTGACTTCACTGGATAGGTGTTCTAGACAAAAAATCAACAAGGAAACAGTGACCCTCAATGGCACACCAGATGGATTTAATTGACATTTATAGAACATTCTACTCCAAAGCTGCAGAATATACATTCTTCTCAGGTGCACATGGGATATTCTCAAAGATAGACCACATGTTAGGACACAAAACAAGTCTCTACAAGTTCAGGAAAATTGAAATCATATCAAGCATCTTCTCAGACCACAATGACATGAGATTAGAAATCAACTACAATAAAAACACTAAAAAACATTCAAACACATAGAGGCTAAATAGCATGTTTTTAAACAATGAATGGGTTACTAAAGAGATCAAGGAAGAAATAAAAAACTTTCTGGAAACAAATGAAAATGAACACACAACTCCAAATCTATGGGACACAATGAAGGAGTCCCAANACACACACACACAGATCTTATTTGTTCATAGCATTACAGTCCTACCCTAAGAAACAAGAAAAAGCTCAACTAAACAATCTAATCCTACAACTAAAAGAATTTAAAAGAGAACAACAAGAAAAGCCCAGAGTAAGTAGAAGGAGGGAAATAATAAAGATCAGAGCAGAAATAAATGACATAGAGACTAAAAAAATAATACAAAAGATCAGTGAAATCAAGAGCTGGTTCTTTGAAAAGATAAACAAAATTGATGAACTCTTAGACTCATCAAGAAACAAAGAGAGAGGACACAAATAAACAAAATCAGAAACAAAAGAGGTGAAATAACAACTGACCCAACAGAGATACAAAGGATTGTAAGAAAATACTATGAACAACTATATGCCACCAAGCTGGACAACCTGAATGAAATGGACAAATTCCTAGAAAAATACAAACTTCCAGAACTCAATCAGGAAGAATCAGAAAACCTGAATAGGCCGATAACTGCTCATGAAGTTGAAGCAGTAATCAAAGGGCTCCCAGCACACAAAAGCCCTGGCCTGGATGGCTTCACAGGGCAGTTTTACCAAACATTCAAAGAACTGACACTTACCTTCCTCAAACTATTTCAAAAAAATCCAAGAGGAAGGAACACTTCCAAACTCTTTTTATGAGGCCAGCATTAGCCTAATTCCAAAATCACATAAAGACACTNCCTAATTCCAAAACCAGATAAAGACACTACAAAGAAAGAGAATTACAGGCCAATATCCCTGATGAACATAGATGCTAAAAT